ATGGTAGTTAAGACATGGGATACTACATGGCTGCCTCCACAGTTTAAGTCCCAGACCTGGAGGCTTGAAAAACATGCCAGGCTTGTGTGCGTACATGCCCAAAATCCCAAGAAGAGAATGGAGAAGGGACTACAGCGTAACCATCTCCCTGGAGGCAGGGATGATTTCTCACTTTCCTTTTCTCTGTCTCTCTCTGTTTCTCTCTGATGAGTGCATGCACTCTATAGCAAAAAAATAAAAGACAGAACAAAAGAAGCTAGGAATGGGGATGAGCAGTTGGCGTAATGGCTATGTTGTTGGACTCCCATGTAGTCGACTGCAGTTCGAGTCCCGGACCCAGTGGCTTAAACACACGTGTGTGCGTGCGTGCCCAAGATCCTGAGAGGAGAATTGAGGAGAAGGGATTGTGGTGTGGCCATCCTCCCTGGGGGGTGATTTCTCGCTTTCTGTCTCTCTGTTTTTCTCTATCTTTCTGGTGATTGCATGCGCCCTATAGCAAATAAACCTCTCCAAAAAACAAACAAACAAACAAACAAAAGATAGGAAAAGGAGAAGACATAGAACTCTGCATTATCTACATAATATACTATAGAGCTATGCATTCAATTGGCACTTGATAAATGTTATTGGTTGCCTTCTTATTGGCTGACTATGGAGAGAAATGGGCATTAAACTGAGAATTATCAGTTAACATAACAAATAATAAAATACTCAAAAGTATATTCTTCCTCAGAGGGCCTTCAGGTTTTAGATAATTAAAAAAAAATCCTCTCAGGGATCAGTTAGTTCCTCCAATCCCCAGGACTGTCAGTTGTGAGGCTGAGAAATGGAACGTATACAGACCATGCTGGTTGACAAGGTGAGTGCTGAAGCAGATGACGTCTCCAACAAAGGTAAGCTTGATGTCTGGCTCAATGGCGTGCTCTACAGCCACAGGGATATAATCTGCCATGCCTGGATGTCTCCGGTCCCAGAGCCCAACAAGAGTCACCCCTCTGTTCACAGCCTGGGCAATGTAAGTATAGTTTCTATTCCCTGGTCCAATAAGCAGCAAGTCGTCTCTGAAAGTAGACAGAGAAGGTAGAGCTCTCCAAGAAGAGACAACCGCTAGGAAACGGTTCTGGGGGCAGGCCCAGTCACAGTAGTTTATACTCAAAAGTTCAGGAGGAAGTTTTTACAGCAGAGAGCAAGTAATTGGGGGCCAGGGGTCAGTCTATTACTACTACCTTTATATGTGTAATGCCCAGTAATGATTTCTTGCATCCTCAGGAAAGCATTTTTTTTTTTTTTTTTTTTTTTAGTTATTGCTATATGGTGCATGTACTCACCAGGGAGAGAGAGAGTGAGAAATCCCTCCAATGGGGGGATGGCCATACTACAATCCCTTCTCTTCCAGTCTCCTTCTGGAATTTTGGCCACATGTGCACACATGCCCAGTGTGATTCCCAAGCTGCTGCTGGGTCTGGGTCTCAAACTGTACAGCAGACCATGTAGGGTCCAGCACCTTAACCTGTACACCACCTGTTGGCCTCAGGAAAGCTTTTTGATAAGAACATTCCAATTTTAGTGTGAACACTCCAATTTAGGACGGGACAGATTCAAAATATCCTGAAATTTTTCTTCAAGGCAACTAATGCCATTTTTTTTTTTTTACTATTTCTGGCCTTATTTATTTATTTTTATTATTATTTAAATATTTATTTATTTAATTCCATTGTTGTTACTATTTTTAAAACTTGACCAGAGAGAGACAGGAAGAGAGAGAAGGGGAAAGTGAGAAAGCAAGCCACCAGGTCTGGGACTCAAACCGTGTGGGAGTCCAGCGTTTTAACCACTGCACTACCTGCAGGCCCCTTTATTTTTTTTAACCCGTAACAAAAAACCGATCAGGTTCCAAGTTCAGAATGTGAGAATAATTTATGGGAGTTCTATATATTACTGGCCTAAACTGCAAGATTTTTACTATGTGTCAACACCCTTGCATTGATTTTATACCTGTTCAGTGCCAGATAAAGCTGGGTATTATGTGTGTGGAATTTCTCTCCGGTGCTACTGTAAAACTGAACGATGAAGGTGAGAGACATGCCCAGGGGAAAAGCCGACAGGGTCCTTCCTGGGGTTGTGTACAGCTTGGGTTGGCTGCTCATTCGCAGGTACGTCACTGGTGCGACCTGTGGGAGACAAGACCCTCTGGTACAGAGACGGATGCAGAGGAGAAGAGCTGTGAACATATTCTGAGATTTATAACCAATGAAGAAAACAAAATGGTATTTCACTTCCTTACGAAATAGATGACTTAAACCCGAGTGAAAAGAAATACGACAGGACAGGGTTTTTTGTTTATTTTTAGTTTTTGCTACAGTGTACACGCACTAGCCAGAGAAAGAGAGGGTGAGGGAAGGTAAGAAATCACCCTTCAGGGAGGATGCCCATGCTGCAGTCCTTCTGTATACAGTCTCCTCTGGATTTTGGGTGCACACGCACATGCATCCAGAATGATTTTCAAGCTGGTGGGTCTAGGACTTGAACCACAAAATCAACCATGTGGGATTCAGTGCCTTAACCTCCATGTCACCTGGGGCCCAGGAGGTGACAATTATTAAAGCTGTAGGGACCAGCAGATGGTGTAATGTTTACATCACTGGACTCCCATATGACTGACTGCAGTTCGAGTCCTGGACCCAGAGGCTTGAAACACACCAGGTATGTGTGTGTACATCCTCAAAATCTTCAGAGGAGAATGGAGGAGTAGGGACTGTGGCATGGCCATCCCCCCTGGGGGTGATTCTTGCTTTCTGTCTCTCTGGCTCTCTGGTGAGTACATATATCCTATAGCAAAAATCTCTCTTAAAAATAAGTATTAAACCTATAGGAATTATACTTTAAGAGACAGTTTAAATACAGTAAAAAAAGGTCCATCTTTGAATCATAGCTTCATCATTTCATAGCATTATGTATCATTATGGATCTCAGATTTCTTACCAGTTAAATGGGGATAATAATGTTTACCTCAGAGTTTTTGTGGCTGGAAAAAAAAGAGCTTTTAAAAAATTATTTATTTATATTATTAATTTTTGCCTTAGGATGTGTGTTCTTGCCAGAGAGAAAGAGACAGTGAGAGGGAAATTGAGAAATCAACCCCCAGGAAGGATGGTCACACAACAATCCTTTTTCCTCCATCTCCTCCCAGGATTTTGGGCACACATGCACATGTGTCTGGTATGATTTTCAAGCCACTGGTTCTGGGACTCGAACCACAGTAGGCCATGTGGGACGTAATCATTCAGTGACGTAACCATTACACCATCTGCTGGCCCTGATGTATTATTATTTTTTTAAGTTTGCTATAGGGCACACATGCTCATCACACAGAGACACACAGAGAGAAAAAGTGAGAAAGCAAGCCACCAGATCTGGGATTTGAACCACATGTGTGAGTCCAGTGCTTAACACCACCTGCTGGCCCTAGAGCTGGAGCTTTTTATTTTTAAAAATAATTTTAATTTAACTTTATTTATTTTAATTTGACCAGAGTGAGACAGAGCGAGCAAGCGAGAGAGAGAGAGAGAAAGAAAGTGAGAAAGCAAGCTGCCAGGTCCAGGACTCGAGCTATGGTCAGCCACATGGGAGTCTAGTGCCCTTAACCCCATACCACCTGCTGGCCCCCAAGAGTTGGAGCTTTTTGAGGACAAGACTGCAATTTATCTACTTTAGACAGAGTGCTTCATATTTATTGTTAAATAATTTATTTTTAATCGAGAATACTGTATGTTGTGTGTATGTTTTAATTTTGCTATGGGGCACATGCTCTTGCCAGAGAGAAGAGAGAGAGAAAGAGAGAGAGAGGAAGGTGAGAAAGCACTCCCTAGGAGGGATGGCCACATTGCAGTCCCTTTTCCTCTAAGGATTTTGGGCATGCATGCATATGTGCCCAGTGTGTTTTTCTTTTTTTAAAAAATTATAATATTTTTTTCCTTCCTTCCTTCCTTCCTTCCTTCCTTCCTTCCTTCCTCCCTCCCGTCCTCCCTCCCTTCCTTCCTTCTTCTCTCTCTCTTTCTCTCTCTCTTATCAGAAAGAGAGAGAGGGAAAGTGAGAAAGCATGTCGCCAGGTCTGGGACTCGAACGATGGTACTATGGTCGGACATATGGGAGTCCAGTGGCCTCAATCACCACGCCACCTGAAGGCCCCATGCCCAGTGTGTTTTTCAAGCCACCAGAGTTGGTACTTGAACTGTGCGGTTAGTCATGTGGGATCCAGCTGTCTCAACCACCACGCCACCAGCTAGCCCTAGATTGTATTTTTATACTTTACGAGATAATTGCAATACAGTAAGAAAGGTCTATCTTTGAATCATGCTTCATCATTTCATAGCATTATGTATCATTATGGATCTCAGATTTCTTATCAGTTACATGGGGATAATAATGTTTACCTCATACTGTTGTGGCCATTAAAGAGATAAGATAGGCCTGGTGGTGTGGTGGTTAAAGTGAGATCCAGCATGGTCAACTGCACAGTTCAAATTCTGGACCCAGTGGCTTGAAAAAAAAAAAAGTCAGGTATGTGTGTGTGTATGTCCATAATCCCAAATGGAAGAAGAAATGGAGGGGGGCCGGCAGGTGGCATGGTGGTTAAGGTGCTAGACTCCCATATAGCCGACTGCGGTTTGAGTCCCAGACCTGGTGGCTTAAACTCATGACAGGCGTGTGTGCATGTGTGCCCAAGATCACAAGAGGAGAATGGAGGAAAAGGGATTGCAGCGTGGCCATCGCCCCTGGCGAGTGACTTCTCACTTTCTGTCTCTCTGTCTTTCTGGTGAGCACACACACCCTGTAGCAAAAACCTCT